GCTGCCACACATTGTGGCCTCGTGCATTCGACCTGCACTCTGGTGGCAGCAGTCTGCTTTCCCTTTTCGGCTTGGATAGCGGGGTGCTGGCTCCTCTCGCGGGACTCTGATTGTGACAAGCCCCGCGTACGGTCGAATCATCGTTCTTCAGCGCCGCTCTCATTCCAAGAACACACACACACACACACACACACACACACACGAGCTCAACGCTGTTGGTGACGGGGACCAGAAGGGACAGGTGTAACCAACCTCGCCCCACGGCTGCTGCTGCTGCCGCAGTCATTGCTCGTCGACCCACGTTTCATCGTCGCGCACGGCACCACGGACAACCATCATGAACAAAGGTCTGCGGCGGCAACAAACACATCTCCTTTTACCCCCCCTCGCCACCAGCGGCACCCTTGTACCGCTGGTTATCGTGGGCTCGTCATGAAGACCCTGGTGGTCTTGGCCCACCTCCTGGCTGCCTGCGCATGGCTTCCATCCCACAGCACTGCCGCCCCGCTGCTCTACGTCGCTACCCTCCCCAACCAAAGGCTTGCCACCACGGTTGCCGACTGCGCCAGTCCCCTCGCTGCTATTGGTTGGACCCTCCACCAAACCCCACAAGTCTCCAGCTATGACCTCTGTTTGATTTCCTCCCTTGTCAGCGACCCCGACCTGCCCATCTGCAACCATACCCTCTACGTGGACCAAAGCTTCGATGCCTACACCCAGACCCCAGTCATCCTTCAGCGTCTCGCCCTCTACAATGCCGTCCTCATACTTTGCAGGTACACGCCGCAAACACGCCATCTCGACACATACAAACACACCAACTCGATGCGTTGACTGATCCAGCCACCAGCCACCACACCACAACCCGTCACCATCCATCCCAGACATGGCTCGCGCTAGCCCTACCTCAACTTGCCTTGCATGTGTTTGCAGCCCCACCTCGACTCAAAATGAACTCATCTCTAATTTCATGGAGGTTCGCTGCCCCAAGTCATGCCCAAAGAAGCTCGCCCCGCTCCCTCTGCCCCCGGTGATTCACCCAACACATGTGACCATTAGTTTCAAGCCAACGTCACCTACGAACTCCTCGACATCCAAGAGTGTCCCAGCCCCAGCCCCGCTCTTGAACTGGCTGTTAAAGCACCCGCCGTCATCATCTTGGACATCAACCTCAATGTCCAGCAAGCTGTCAATGCGCTTCTCGCCCTACGCTCGCGCAACTGGCTTCAAGAACCGTACGACGCGCTGCCATTATCTCAAACGCCTTTCCCCGTGTGTATGTTCCGAGTCGGCCCTGCACTTCATCAAGGCTCACCCTGTTGTGATTGCCATTTTCCACGCTACCCTTTCCTCCCGCGTTGGATTCCCGCATCAACAAGCACAGTGTACCCGTTCTCTTTGCGGGACGTTTTTACGCCGAATATGAGGACATTATCCTTTTTCTTGGCGGAATCGATGTCAATCTAGCTGTATGCTCGCGCACCCATGCTCTTTCCACCCATGCTCGACTGAATGGTCACACGCATGACAGTCTCTTCCAATTGCCCCCCGCCCCTTCACTATGACTAATCCTCTGCTGTGCGATTGCCATTGTATGCATTTGCGACACCTTCCACAGGAGCAAGTGGCCAATCATGCTATGCTTCTTGTGCCGCCATTCCAAGGGCTGGAGAACCTCTGCGTGCCGGGCAGTGCTTTGGATGATATCCTGCGACCAACAGCAAATGACATTGACCTGCTCGACCCTGCCATTGACGAGATTGTCATCTCCCGCCATCGCTTCACACTCACGCCACCACCCGCAAATTTTGATTTTGAATTACGACGGCCTGAGCTTGTATTCCCTGCTATGCGCCGCGTTGTATGTTCCTGGCTTACTGCTCACACTCCTCCCGTTGACTTGACACCCATCGCGTCTGTGGGGGCCCCTTGCCTGTTCGACCTTCTTTTTTTTTTTTTTTTTTTTTTTTTTTTTTGCTCAACCTAGTTTTCTCCGGTGTAGAACAATACGTGGACCTGTTTCGACGGCGTTACCGGCCTCTTGACGCCCATACCCAAGCTTCTTCTCGGCGGCTTTCCCGCTGGCAGCTACCCCATCTCGCGAAGCGTCGCTCGCATTACTATTGAAAGTGTCATACCCATGTGAGTCCCTCTGCTGACAGCGCCCTTTGTCTTTTGGCATGCCACGTTGCAAGTATCTGCACCCCCCGTCTTGCTGGCTGATTGCCTCATCACATCCGTGTGCAAATAGCATGGAACCTGACTTGGCTTTGCGACACGAACTTCAACTGGAAAGTTTGGCTGCCTCGGCCAACGCCAGCAATGGCCTTGTCTCGCTGATACCCACCCTCGTTGATTGCACTGACCTGGATCAAAGTGGCGCCCCCCCAAACGTGCTCCTGCTGCACGCCCATGCGTGCCCCGACTACGATGGCTGCGATGTGCCATACCTCATCTTTGACGACTTTACCGACACAGACATGACCTGCGGCATCCAAACCCGCTCGCTTGACGCTTGGTTCTCCGTGGTAGCTCATGCACTCGCCTCAGCCGGCCTGGATACCATCTTGCTCCTTGTGGTTGACTATCTACCCACCATCAACATCAGCCATCTCCTGGAGGTGGCAAATCTGGTTGTCGATGATGTCTTGAGTCTGAGCTACAGCATTCAAGCACCCGAAGAAGTCGAGGTCGCTTATCGAATCGATGAGTGGATTGATGCCCATGCGTTCCGGCCTGTCGTCGTGTTGCTTGAGAACCTTGAGCTCGCGGACATGCTCGAGGATGTCAAAGGGCTTCTTCAGGCTCCAGCCCTCATCTTCATTGGACCATATGGCCCCATCAACAGCTTGGAGCCGAGTCATTGGCCGTGTGCCTTTCAAGTCGGTAATGTCGGCCTGTTCAACAGCTCGGCAACACCCCTCAGCATCCCCTATGACTCACGGATGACATTTGAGCTCGTTGACCAAATTGTCAACGATGCTGCACGCACCTTTGGATTTGGTAGCGATGATGCCCGAACCCGTGCTGCCTTGACCGCCGCCACAGCTGCTTATGTTCTTGAACACACCCACGACCCTGTGGATGATGACCAGAGCAACAACGGCAACGAACCCAGCACACATCGCCACATCGTCACTGAGCAAATATATCTCGTTCGAGTTATAGAAAGCACTTTGATTCCGATCATGGCCATTGACGTGGATACGCACCGCGCCGCCTTTCCAGACATCACCGATCAAGTGGCCTGCCTTGCCGCCACCGCTGCTCCCACTACTACCACCACCACCAGTCCGACAACAATTGATTCAACCCCCACGGCGCAAGCCAGTCGCGGGCGTACGACCTGGTCCACCGAATCTGTTGTCGGCTTGGTGGTGGGCCTGGCAATTGGCATTTTAGTCTTAATCTTGTTATTCATATATTGTTGGCGTCGGCGGCACATTCACAGGAATCGGCTCGACGCAAATTTGCCGAGCAAACTGGGTGCATCAGGGCGTAATCTTGACTTGCGGGCCTCGGGCATTATCAGTCTACATGAGCTCTTTGGCCATGGTATTGAGATGGTGGAAGATCCCAAGCAGCCTGGGGTCACGTTTCTTCGCCTTCTATTGAACAAGACAGTGGTTGGACTTGATGAACAGCTACCGGCTCAGCTGGAGTTGCTGGCCCCTCGTCCGGGCCGCCCGTCAATCCTTGCGCCCTTTGCTGTCACCTTTCCGTATTTGACTCCGTCTGCCTGGCCGCTCGTCTTTTTTCGCGTAAGGCCCGGGGCCCCTCATCATCGTATTTGTGTTTCGTTGTTTTTTTTGTTTTGTTTTTTGTGGTTTTTGTTTTTTAGTTTTTGGGGTTTTGTTTTTTTGTTTTTTGTTTTTCGCTGCTGTTTTTCGTTTTCTCTCTCTCGTTTCTCTCGCCACTGGCATTGATGGTCGAGCTCAAAGGCCCGGTACCATGCTTCCTAGCTCATCTGGCAACGCTTTTCTGACGTGTAGTATGATGAAAGCCTGACCGCGGTGCTGTGCAGCAAGCTGGATGAGACCTTGTCGGCATCTGGACCTGAGCGCCTTCGAGCGGCCAGTGCAGTTACTGGATTGCTGCGCCAACTCTTTCAATCCGGCTTTGCACTTCCCTGGATCACGAGCCAGATGTTAACGCGCAGAAAGGCGATAACAAACGTGAAAAAAACCACCAAGCCGAAGCGGGACCAAGAGCATGGCCACAAGCTCGCCTCTACCTCAACAGCCATCACGACCCTGCCTGACCCCACGGTACCGGACGCTCCAGAATTGGAGACTGCAGTCACACGGCCTGGCACGCAATTCCCACACCATGTGCAGCCTGCTACAGCTGGGAATTGGCAACTGTGCCCCTTTCAACTCCTGCTCAGCCGTGCCGATCAGCGAGATCAAAAGATGCGACTGCAACAACTCATGACCCTTCAGTCTAGTCGCTGGGCTGCACCCGAGGTCTTGACAAACTTTGAGGTGAGCATGAGGGGTCCTCTTGCTCTTTTGAATCACCCCCCACTACTCACGCAAGGTTCGTCCTGTTTCCTTTTTGGTCCAGGTGACTGAAAAGAGCATGGTATATTCTGTGGGTGTGTTTGTGTGGGAGATCATGAGTCATGGTGTCACGGTATGTCCATCGTGTACACCCGGTGTACATGCACGAAGTTATCTGGTCCGTTTCATTGAGGTGATGCTCTTTTGAAGTTGCTCAACAACTTACCCCGAGTATCGCTCCATGATGATACCAAAGGTTCCATACGTGCATCAGCGCTTGTTGGAGGCTCATGATAGCATACGTTCAGGGCGGCGTCTTGAGGTGGGTGCATGCTTTTGAGTCACAAATTTCTGATGCGGCTGCAGGCTCACATCGTGGCTACATCATGGCTGGGATAGGTGACAGCCATTGACCCGGCGCTAAGTACAATGTTGCAGCTGTGCTGGCGGCATCAACCTCATGAGCGACCCACCCTCACGCAGCTGAAGACTGCTTTGGACTTGCTCGCCTCTGGGCAAGTCGAGGGCAAAACGGCGGAGGACGATAGTTCAACTGACGCACGGCACGCTTCACCTACGCCCCAGACCCGTCTCGCTGATGGGCCCATTGCCAGTAGCGGTGGTGTGGCCAGCGGCAGTCAAGTAGGCAGCGGTGTAGCTGCTAGTGGGGCCGCGAGCAGCGGTGGCCAAGGCAGCGGTACTCGAGCCAATGTGCCACCTAGCCTCAGCCCTGGCCAACCGCTTATCAGTGGGAATTCGGATTCGGCTCGTCTGTTTGCCTCGCACTATGTTTCGCGACCCGATGAAACGCCGAGCGTCCAGCAACCTGGGCACTCGAACAACCCGCACACTACCGTGCATCGCCTACGTCAGCTGAGCCACCCACTACACGAAACATCCGTTTAACAGCAATCTGTCAAGTCGCTTTTGACAGAGCCTCAACGCTTGTGCCGTAACTGTGCTTTTCGTTTGTTTGTTTGTTTGTGGTTTTTGATGATTTTTCAAAGGTTTTCTCCTTTTTTTCGGCGGGGTGGGGGATGTGTTTCTTTTTGCTTCCTTCTCTTTGCTTTCCCATGTTTTAAGACAAAGTCTTTATTTGCTCCTTGTGTCATGCGGCCGTCAGGCTCGCACATGACTTGTAGGCCCTCATTAATCGGCTAGGTTAGATCTTCCTCGACACGACGTTTTTCTCCTGCTCCCTGTTTTTCTTCTCAACAATGTTTTCACCGCGCGTTGAAAAATTTTAATCGGATATGAAGAAACTATGTTAGTCTCAAATTCTCAGACCTGCCTTCGCACACAATGTCATATGTGTGGAGACTGCCACACATCATCCTGCATCCTCATCCTTAGCTGCAGGTGTAGAGTTTGACTTCACTTGAATAAAACGGCCAAAAAAACGCACAAAAAAAAATAAGAAAAAAACAAAAATCTTTTAACATGTAAGTTGCATTAACATGTAAGTAGAACTATGGGTCTTCATAAGATTCAGTGACTCATGCGTTCTTGCCCTGGAAGTGGTTTGCCTGCCGTGGGGTAACAATCAAGGATTGGGGACCAAGGGGGCCAACATGTGATCGAGGTTCCCAGGATGCCTAAAGTGCACAGCAACAAGAGCAAAACTATGTCTGACTGCAGATGTACATTCGGATGTTTTCGATTAGTGGTTTTGCTGGCGTGTTCTCCGCGCTACTTTGAGTGTTGTCTAGCAGAAGGAAAAGACCTCTTGGGTTGCTGCAAGCTGAGGGTAGAGAGTTGTTGCCGTGCTGCTGGTAGCAACGATGTATCTCCAAAGGTGAAGGCGGTTTCCAACTTGGGTTGAGGCATCATGGCCATCATTGAGGGTGTCTGGTCGCGTAATACTTTGTTCTGAAAGTTCAACCGGTCTTTCACGGTCTTCAAGTCCCGGCGAAGCGCCTCGTTCTGCGTTGCATCATCGTCAGGGGTCATTACCAGCAAGGTTGGTGAGCTCGTATCATCATGCTTTTGTTAACCAAGGCATTGGCTGTCAGGACGCGGTGGATCAAAGCACAACGATGGCATCCCTCGCCAAAGATGGACACCCACAAACAGAGCCAAGAAAAAAAAACAAACAAACAAAAAAAAAAAAAAAAAAAAAAACGAAACCAGGTAGAAGACAACTACCACACCACACTGCCATAAAGTGGAGGTTGCATTCAAGCAATACCTCGGATTGCAATTTTTGAATGCGAGTCTCAAATGCTTGGCGAAGTGATTTGGCAACACTGTCCACCCCCGCTTGTAAAAAGTCCTGCCAATGGTCAGAGGTGTGCGGGGGTTAGAGGCAGGTGATCAAGGGGTGGCAAATGTCACGATGGCGCCATGGCAGGAGCGTGGACGCTGCAGTCCAAGGGTGAAACGGACCTTGGCAACCATCTTGTAGTGGGCAAGGCAGTTGTGTGAAACGGCGTCAGCTCCTGGGATGAGCTCGGCACCGCAGTGCTTTTTGGTGCATACGTAAACGTTGCGCCCGCACGCCCGGGCATGGACGTGAAGATCCAAGGGCTGAACGTCCTCTTTACATCGGCGGCATCGTTGCGACTGCGCGAAACACCCTTGTACATGCAGCTGCAGATCCGCAAACGGGCCTTTGAATGTACAGCCGTTCTTGGTCCACGGGCATTCGACCTGGCAAACGCATGCGAGGTGTGAGCAAAGATCGAGCGCGGGTGGGGCGGCAAGGGTTGGCCATTGTGCAGGGTGGTTGCCAGCAAGAGGGAAGGAAGTGTCCTTCCATCGTGCCACACATCGTGTTACAACGCTCACTTGATATGTAGCCAGAATGCGTTGAGCAGCGTTGTCTTTGTGATCCTGGAAGCGGCAACGACAGACTGGACACTGACGAAACTGGCTCTTGGTCTGGCACTTGTTGCAGACGATGTGCTGGCCTTGATGGGAGCAAACGCTGAGCTGCCCATCGAAATCAAGGCAGACAGAGCAGATCAAGTCCTTGAAGAGTGGGTGCTCATCCTGCACCCATGATGCGAGTTCCAAGGTCACAGGCTCAAAAGACACGGGCCGGGGAGCAAATTCACCCGGCTCTGGCATGTATTCCAAGGGAACAGGGGCATGTTGAGTGGCGACTGGAGCGGCACCGCAATAGCCAGTTTTGGCTGTGGCAAATGTCGTCCGAATCGCTGCTGTGCCTGCGTTCAGGCTCGGGGCCGTGCCTGCGGGCCAAACTGTTCCCCGGGTACTGCTGCTGACCGAGGCGGTGCTTGCGGTGGACGGCTGATTCAAGGCCGTGGCCGTGGCCAGCGATGTGTTTACCGAGCGTGACGCTGTCCTCAGATCGGCGGCAGTTGCCTGTGCTGATGCTGCGTTGGTGCTGGTGCCGCTCGGGCGGGCACCGTTGGTTTGTGAAGCGCACCCACGTCCAGCTGAAGCATTCGTGGCCATTGCCTGCAAGGGAATGAACACACAACCCAGTCGATGTGTTGGTTGTGAGGACGGTGCGAGTCAAGGAGGCACATCCCTTGCTTTGACCAAGAGGAGCCGATGCCAACTTACTTGCAAGTGCTGCGCCAACAGCAAGCACACTTGTTACAAGCAGCAGGAGCTCAAGTCGGCCGTCAGGAGCAGCCCGGTCTTCTCTTTGATGTCAGACGAGGTACGAGCTGACCGATGAGCAACGTGACACCTCTGCGAGCTGGCCGCAGCTTCCCGTGTTGGCTTGAACTCGTGCACATGAACGGGTACCAAGAACGTCGCCACGCGGCTGCCAAATGCGCGACAATCAGAGAAAAAAAATCGAGAGAGAGAGAGAGAGAGAGAGAGAGAGAGAGAGAGAGAGAGAGAGAGAGAGAGAGGGAGTGAGAGAGAGAGTTTGAGAGAGTTTGAGTGAGTTAGTTTGAGAGAGTTTGAGAGAGAGAGAGAGAGTTTGAGAGAGAGTTTGAGAGAGAGTTTGAGAGAGAGAGTTTGAGAGAGAGTTTGAGAGAGAGAGAGAGAGAGAGAGAGAGAGAGAGAGAGAGAGAGAGAGAGAGAGAGTTTGAGAGAGAGTTTGAGAGAGTTTGGGAGAGTTTGAGAGTTTGAGAGTTTGAGAGAGAGAGGGTTGAAAAAAGCAAAAATGCAAAACACCACATGTAAGAGTATAAAAACAGTTAGGGAAGCAAATCTACCACATGTACTCGAAAGAAAGAGAGGAGAGGGTTCAGAGAGAGAGAGAGATTTTCTTGTGTCGTAACACGTGTGTGCGAGCGATTGAGTGTGTGGAGTCAAAATGGCAGCGCAAAGTGGGGAGGAGCAAAAGGCAGGGGCAACGGGTTTGAAGGCATCGGGGGCCGAGGGAGAGTTTGGAACACGCTTCCTTGTTGATCGGGCTCAGGTTTTTCAGCACAATGCTTGGTACGTCCTCAAGGCGATGGTGGCTTTCGGTCGGCAGCTTGCGGCCGAGCAGCTCATGGGGTGTTGGTCATGTCCTGGCCGGTGCAGGGATCAAGTTCAGCCCTCAGAGGCCTTTTTCGAATCGGCACGCACCATTTTGGACCAGCAAGCACAGAATCCCGTGCCCGAATCTGAGCTAGGTCGCTTCTTGGCTTGGCTCTGCTGCAGCATCTGGGCACCCCCCATCTGTTGATGCGACAGGCGAGCAGTTCTCACTTGCACTTGGTTGTCTGTGGTCGTGGGCCGGGTGGGGCCATGTAGCGCTGTATCATGACGTGCCTGCTCAATATTGGGACGACTTTTACAGCTGTCACACCAACAAGTGCGGGATGTGCACCATCACGCATCGCTTTGCTGCCCGCTGCCTCGGTACTGACGAATCATCCTGCACGTCAACATAGGTTCTTCAAGGACCGCAACTGGCTGAGCAAGGAGGTGCCAGAACTTTTTCTGTCGGCAGAGGGGCTTCCCACTCCCGACGATCAGTTGGTAGCTTTACCGCTGGCAGAAGTCACGCAACGAGAGGAGGCTGCGGCCCGGGATGCACGGCAGGAGCAGATTCAGCGCCTCCAACGACAACACCATCCGCGTCATCGCAAGGCTATTCAGGATTTGTTTCCGATTGCAGAGCGCTTGACCCGCCAGGCCCTGAGCCGAGGTACTGCGGCCGTGGCCTGGCCCGGAAATCGAGCTCAGTTCAGCGCACATGCGCGCCGTCGCATCCTAGAGGTGCGCAAGCTGCAAGCCGAGTCAAGACGCCGGCCCGCCTTGGCTCCTCAGAAACAAATGTGATTCGCTTGCAAACCTTTCTGATCCGCCACAATCCTGTGCGGCCTCCCTTTTGCTAGGTGGGGTGCGGGGTGGGCAATACCGCGCGACCCATTGTCCATTTCAATCCAGATCCCAACGTCTTCGTGTATGCATGTGATTACGCGCCCAGCGCCATCGATGTGCTGCGAGTAAGGCCGGGTACCCCTCCTCCCACCTCGCGTGCTGTGCGCCTCATTGCCTCTGATTCTTGCGCATCAGGTTTTGATAAAGCTAATCGCATCCATGGTGGCGGCGCCCTTCCTTTTGGCGATCTGACACAGACTAGCCAGTGGTATGATCCGAAGCGCTGTCATGCTTTTGTAGCCGATCTCGCCTCTGCGCAGGAGCTCGACCTGCCCGACAACTCGATTGACGTGGCCACGGCCGTATTTGTTCTCTCAGCGCTCACTCTGGCCGAGTATGTGCAAACTTATCGCTCTTCACCCGCCGGCTTGCATGCGCCAGCAACATATGTAGGATCTCATCACGCGAATGTTTCACTCTTTGTTTGGTGTGGTCTGATAGAATGAAGACAGCGGTGGCTTCTCTCTTCCGTGTCCGTTCTCGCATTGCAGCAGGGTTTGCAGGGGCATAACTTGTTGCACCATTGGTACTGAGCGATTTTACTTTTGATTTCTTGTCTTAGGTGCTGCGTCCAGGCGGCATGCTTTATTTCCGAGACTACGGCCACCTTGACATGGCACAGGTTGGTCTCGAGTCGTGGTGGTATTTTTTTTTTTGGGGGCATATTTGCATCTTTGTTTGCGTCGGGCAAAAGGATGCGAGCGTGCTGCCCCATAATGGGCGTTCCTTGATCAAAAGCCTACTCTGACGCGCTTGGAGATCACGCCGTTTATGCTTTTAGTTGCGCTTGAAAAAGGGTCGCTTACTGGAGCGCAACTTTTACATTCGCGGCGATGGAACGCGCGTCTATTTTTACACATGCGAGGAAGTGGAAGCCCTGGTCCAGCGTCATGGGTTCATGGTCCAGCAGCTAGCGTACGACCAGCGCCTCTTGGTCAATCGCAAGAATCGCCAAGAAATGCAACGGTGCGCCCATCATCATTTCGGTGTCACGCTTGTATCCATCTGTTTTTCCATGAGTGTGTGGGTCGTGAGCAAGTCGTTTTGGCCATGGCACGTCAACGCCGTGCTTATTTTGGCTTTGCTACAGGGTGTGGGTGCATGGCAAGTTTATCAAGCCCGAGTCAAGCTAGGAATGTCCATCAGGGTAGCCAAGGTTTGCCTTTTCACATGTCAATTGACGAGTCTGGTTGAAACGCTGCCAGCAAGCCACCCATTACCATGATATGCGTGCCTACTTCAAGCCTCTGGTGCCTTGATCAGCGGAGACGTGCGAAAGACCGCAGGCCGTTCATCGCCAGAGGTTTCGATCATGCGTCGCAAGAGTCGCGTGACGGTGGTCACGTTCTGGGCTCGGTTTGCGGCCACGGGAACGATGGGGATGTGTTCGGGCACGGTGAGAGCGAGGCGCTCTAAATTGGCTGCGGAAGCTGGCTGATCCATCTTGTTTGCCACGACCAACGTCTGTCGCTCAACCAGAGCCGGGTTGTACGCTTGTAATTCATCACGAATGATACAAAACTGCTCACAACAGTCTGGGCGACTGGGGGTAGGCGGGGAGCATGATCAGTGGCCATTTCAGAGCCGAGATTTAGCATGGGCCGGGTATCAGCAGAAGGTGAAAGGGCAAACACGAATCGAAAATTTTAAAGGTTCATGAGGTTGGGCAGCCGCTTAGGCAGTGGCGGTGCAGGTGTGGACATGACACGAGTTTTGCACGCACCTGACATCAATAATGTAGACGAGAATGCGGTTGCGCTCCACGTGCTTCAAAAAACGGTGGCCCAGGCCCACATTCTGCGAGGCTCCAGCAATCAAGCCAGGCACGTCTGCGATGCGCAACCGAAAGTAATCTGGAAAGTCCACCACGCCGCAATGTGGATTCAGAGTTGTGAAAGGGAAATCGGCAATCTAGATTGTAAAAAGTCACAGCGCCAAGGAGGGCCGGATTGGGCGCGCATGAGTTCAGGACCCGAGCACAGGGGGTGAGAAAATATGCTCGTGTAGGTGCAGCTCGCCGATTTCTACGCTCTTTGATCGGCGTGCTTTACATACCCGCGGGTGCGCATTGGAGACGGCATTGAGAAAGGTACTTTTACCCGCGTTGGGCAACCCAACAAGCCCCACGTCGGCAATGGTTCGCAGATCAAAAAGGTACCTATGCCGAGGCACGCGGTGGATTGGCTGCTGTTTGAGTCAGGGTTCAACTCTTGCGAGCTGCAAGATAAACGCACCGAATGTCTTCACCAGGCTTGCCCACGGCACGCTCATCCATTGGCTGCTGGGCTCGCGTTCGTTCCAGTCCACCCGTGTTGCCACGGCCAGCCGCCCCACCTCGAGCGGCCAGAAATTCTTGGCCAGGCTCGGTCAGATCAGCTACGACCTAGCATTGGTCACGCGACCGGTCCGGTTTACAGTGACATCATGCGAGGCCACATGGCGGTAGTACGACAAGCTCAAGGTGCTTACGCGTGGTGGGAGCTCACCTCGCCGTCTCGATGAATGAGGGTGCCGACGGGCACGCGCATGCGCCGTGGTGGGGCGGCAGCACCCAACATGTTTGCGCTACCACCCGGCTTGCCTGCATAACCCACCATGACGGGGGGCACGGTTGCCAGCGTACTCATTCCACCATCTGCAACAAGAATTACATCGCCGCCTCGGCCCCCATCTGCTCCCTCGGGAAATCTAGCGCCAATGCCAACCATCAAGGTCCACCACAAATAAAAACACCAATTTGCAAAGCGCGGAGGGAGGCACCTACTTTCTGGTGCGCGCTGAGTTGCGATACCAAGCCACGCAGCCGTTGCCGCCTCGCCCTGCGGTCATCAAGGGTATGGGGCGCCATGACAGTCACGAAAGGCAGGCTAGGCTCGCATTGTTGTGGTGCATCCGGGACAAGGTGGTGCATGTGTGGGAGCCAGTACCACGTTTGAAGCGCAAGGCGTTACAAAGAAAGGCGACATACCACCACGCACGACGATCGACTTGTGATCCACAAACTTGACATCCTATGTGCAGCCATATGAGGCAAGAGTCAAGGTGGGTTGGGCCGTTTTCATCAGGGCCGGAGAAAGCACGATGGTGGCTCGAGCGCGAGGATTACCTTTTCATGGCTTTCAATGACGGCCGAGTCCCCACCAAATGTCACAGAGGCAGCGGCAGGCCGATGACCGCTCAAGCTAAGCTGGCGCATCGAGGTCAACACGGATGCACTCGCCCGAGTCAGTCCCGACCGAGCTGCTGTCATTGAACCGCCAGAGCAGAGAGTCTCGTTCGACCAGATACTCAGGGTCCGGCGCCACACAGCGGCCCAGCGCGCGGGCTGACAGCACCCTAGGCCGACTCGGACAGCGGCCATTCTGATGATGGCTGAGAGAACTTGAGGGAATGAGAAACTCGAGCGGGGTCGGGGAGCTTGAGACAGAGAGCTCGAGTCGGCGCAGCGAGCGCGAAAGCCTGTGAATACGCGGAGAACTTGAGCCTGACTGGGGACCTGGAAGCAATGAGCACACGCATCAGAGAGCACGAGACACTGCCTCAAACCCTGAGAGCATGAGTCAGAGAGCTTTCGAATCCCAGAGCCAACAGCCTGGGAAGCAAGTCCCGAGGGGGGCGGGGAAGCCAAGGAAGTCGGAGTCACCCGCGTGCCGGAGAAGAGGAATGAGCACAGCAGTGTGATGTTTGAACGTTGACTTCCCTTTGACTTTGATCTTCAAGTGTGATCCGCCACGGGAAAACCAGGTAGCGCATGCATTGTCTGACATTCAAACAATTGTATGACATTGCATAAACTGTCTGACATTTTATCCAATTGTCAGCATGGCGATGGCGATGGTGATGGCGTCGCGGTGGATGAGGGCGGGGTGTGCGATGGGTGCGATGGGGGGGGTGGTGGCAGCTCAGGGAAGGGGGTTGATGTTGGGGCGTGGGTGGTTTGGGAAGCTGGGGCTGGCTGGGGGACGGGGCTTGGCAAGTGTGGTGGAGACAGCGCAGCTTGTGGCGCGCGACCGTCGTTTTGGTGAGTGGTGCTTCGTGGACCGTATGCAGCTCCGTGAAGCCAGTGGCCACGAGTTTGTGGTGTATCGCGTCGGCCCCCACGATGCGGGCCTTTGCTCTCTGCGTCCCATCGTCTTTGTGGACTTGGCCCCCGTGGATCAAGTCATGACCGTTGGTCGGCCTTGCGTCATGGTGGAGGATCCCGCTGGCGAGAAGCGCCGCCTGCCTTCACCCGTCTCCGGTGACATTGTCGCGTGCAATGAGGCGCTACTGGCAAGCGAGCCACAGGCCCTCCTCGAAAACCCTGAAACAGGTCCGTGTATACGTATCAGATGCTTTGCCTGCCGCGTGGTGGCGTTGGCCATGCCTTCTCGTGACAGTGCCCTCCTCCCGCTGCGTTAGCCTGGTTTCTGGAAATTGCACCCTACTGCGAACCCGACGAAGACGACGAGGACTGGGCTGCCCTCGCAGTCACCCCGCCAGTCTAGACATTTGGCGCTCATTTTGTTTTCCACCATCGAGCTGACGCTTGGCCTTTTGGCCAATCTTTTCCTTTTTCTTTCCCTTTACTTCTGTCCACGAACCGGCTTGGTCCTCTTGTAGCAAGTGTAGGTGTGGGTGTCCAAATCCTCAAGCACGGGCTTCATCACTTAACAGGCACCGAGTGCCTTGAGTTATTCACAATTGCAAGTAGAACTAGCACACCACAACGCTTGTCATTTTCCTTTTATCGTGTCCCGCCAGGGCTGACAACAGCGATCGAGCCTCACAAGACACGCGGGACAATACTCGGGCGGTCGACGTGAGCAATTTGCCAATGTTCATCATCCCCATGTGGCCGCAAATCAGTTAGGAGTTGACCCGCTCGAGCATCAATCACGGTCACCAAAGCCTACACCAGCTCACCGGGGCGTGGTGGAACGCACATCATCCTTATGAGCCTTCACAAGCAGTGCAGTGTACAGGCGGCTGAACAGGCGACAAAAATAAAATGTAAAACAACGCCTCTCCAAGTCTGTATTCAAGCTCGACTCATCCTAACACGCCACAATGCTGTACCTTGAGCGGGCCTTGGGGGGCATTAGGTGCCACAATGGCTGGGTTGCCCCACAGGTACATTTCGTCCGGTAAAGGTTGAGTCGAAAGGTGCTGGGCCAGCATAGCGACACCCTGGCTGTCAATCTCATTGTGCTCCAAGCTCACCCTGTGTTCAGGCGTTTGCAGCAGGCAAATAAGCGGCACGCAATCAGTCACCTCCTACCACCAGCGGACAGCGTCAGCCATTGGTGCATTGCAGCTTACGCTTTGAGATTGGTTTTGAGAAGGCAGGGTAACAGCTCCTCCACGCCCAAGGTTTGAGCCCGATTGTAGCCCAAGTCAAGGAAGCGAAGACCTTTGCCCGTCTCCTGTCGTGCCAGGGCCCGACCCAGCTCTGCTACGCCGTCGGGTCCAATCCGATTGCTATTGGTTCGAGCGCCCGGGTCAGAAAAAATGCCACATCATCGGCAGCAGCAGCAGCCCTGGCACGGGGCGGGGGTGCGCAAGGAGCATGCAGGCACGTTGTCAACGTACTTGCGAAGGTCAAGACCCTGAAGTGACGTATTCTTCTGCAGAGATTGCGCCAGGCGCGCAGCGCCAAAATCCGTAATGCCATGCTACTCGCGTCATGTCGCGCATGGTAGGCATGAGATCATCGCTTCATAAAGCGCACAAGCGCGAGGAAGAAGGGCGCGAATTTGCGCAAATTCAGGATGTGGTGCGATACCTTTTGAAGAACAACGGTTTTCAGCACCGTGTTGTCCAGAAGCATTTCTGCGGCATGCACTGCCGTCTCCTCCTGCCAGCAGGCGGATCATGGGCCAGACAGGTCAGAACAAAAGGTGTAGACGTCAGCTCAACCCGCCTTGCACCGTGCAGGACTGCCGGGCCTACCTGCGTGGAGAACAGGTTAGGCCGACTCAGGTTCACTTCTTGCAGGCTCGGATGAGTTCGCAATACGGTAAAGTAGGCAATGCACGAGGTGATGTCGTTATCCGTCTGCGCAACGTTGAGGGCCGTCAGCTTGTGGTTGACTTGTAGCATATTTGCAAGCGCCAAATTGCCTTCACTGCCCAGGCGATTGTGGCTCAAGCCTAGACGCTGAACCGTCTCATTCATCTATCCCATGCCCCACACCAATGCACCCAAGCATTCAAGCAGCCAAAGCGCCCAAAGCACACAAACACCACAGCGCGGTCAGGCCAGTGGCTCAGGGTCATGTTTGGCTGGTGGCGTACGCAGGGGTTGGTTGGTTGAATTGGGGCAGAGGGCTTAACCTGAAACGCGAGCGCCAGGTGACCTGCGCCTTCAGCCTGAATGTCATTGCCATCCAACAGGAGTGTCTTGATGGTCCGATTCATCTGTCATGTTCCCCGCCAGCCCATTAACATCAACAAATAGGAGAACAGCAGGGTGAGCCCTCTTGTCAGCCAAGCAATCAATGAATGGAGCAGGCGAGCTGCAACAGGTAGTCAGGGACAAAGAACAGCGGGGCAGCTGTGGGGGCAAGATTGGTTGGCCAGGCTTTCAAAAGCAGCAGAGCATTGAAGGGAGGGGCAGACCTCGAGCATTTCGGCCAGGGCTTCTGCGCCCTTGTCGGTGATCGCATTGTAGCGAAGGTCTAATACGGTTACGCTTGTATCATCTCGCAGAGCCTTGCCTAGCGCTTGGCAATGCTCATCGTTGATCTGAATGGGTGGGAGGTTGGGCTGCAGACTCCCCTTGCCACGGAGGCGTAGCGTGCGCGAGGCCGTGTCGAGGCGTGCGCTGGTGAATGCCTCGAGCGGCGTTAGATGGTAAAACTCGCAAGCCAGCTGATATAGCTCAACGATGCCCATGGCTACTGTGACAGCACCAACACCACACGACGGCCCAAACTCTCCTCAAGTGATCAAACGCAGGGATACACTGTGAAGTTGGTACTAGAAGGTGGCGGCAATGGCCGAGAACCGGCTTCGGGAGGCTGAGCTGCGCCGGCACACGGGCACACCAAAGAATGCGTCGTCAAGACTCCTTTTGTCAACAACAGCAGTTGTGGCCAAAACTAATCCGACTCATCCTGAATAGACAGTTTATGATGATACAGTTGAGGTTATTGTTACGCTGTAACGGGTTTGGCTTGAAAGTCGTATCGTGAACATGTTGGGTTATTGCAGATTTTATCAGACTTATTGACGGCTTGCTTGGACAGCAGGGAGCAGCCCGAGCTGGTCTCTCCTGGGTCTGGAGCGGAAGGGTTCGAACAAAGCCTCTGGTTCTGACGCGGGGAGGTCTCCTCCTCCGACTCCCCCACCTCCTTCTCGTGCTTCTTCTGCTGCTATTTGATTGCTAGCGTACCCACCGTGAGAGCTGGCAGCGGTGCTTGCTGAAGGTGAGCAGCAGCTGACGTCTGTTGACGTCGAGTCTGCGACGGCAACGGCGACGGCGGCGGCGGCGGCGCGCACACCATTTCGACGCGCTTCAGGCGCCATGGATCGCGCCCGGCACATTGATGTGCAGCGAGATCGCTATCCCTACTGCATTGTTTGGACGCCGCTCCCCATCATTACGTAGGTGCTTGGCGGCTACATCTTCCTCTTGCGCGCCCGTGGCCAGGTGTCAGGCTGTTTTTCTCGTCTGCGGACGTAACTTTCAGAACGCGCGCCACTCACTTGTTGCGAGCCTGGGGTGCTGCGTTTATATGGCCATGTTACATGATAGCTGGCTGATCCCATTCATTGGCCACACTGGTATTGCAACGTCGGACGGCATTATCCACGATTTTGCTGGCCCCTACTATGTTTCGGTACGCAAGGGCGCTTGTGCTTGTTCATGACTAGCTTGGATGCGCATCAGACTCTGCGCCCAAGGAAGCTTGGATCGAGATACATTCGCCAGTTTGACACTGTTGGCCTGTGCGCCCTCTCCATGGTGACAGGAGGACAACATGGCTTTTGGCCGACCAACCAAGTGAGTGGCGCAATGATGGCGGGGTTCAGGTGGTGGAGCGCAAAGGTTCAAAGGCAACGATGTGAAACGAAACATTGGCTCTGCTCTGAGAGCCCACAACCGAGAGCCGGGCCCACAATAGCTCATGTAACAGCCGTCTCACGCCTTCTGAACCAATAGATATGTTCAGCTAAACCCGCTGCGTGCGGCGACAGATACGATGGACTGGGATGAGGCCGTGACAACGGGGTCCAAGGAGTATCGCAAACGAATGCACAACCTCTGCTGCGACAATTGTCACAGCCATGTGGCTTGTTGCTTGAACAACATGGGCTACGGCGGCTCGCGCTCCTGGAACATGATCAAGATTGGCATCATGGTGACCCTGCACTCGAAATACGTCAGGTGCGCCATTTTTTTTTTTTTTTTTTTTTGTGTTTTCGTGATGGTTCTGCGCAATTCTTGGCGACCCTATTCATCCGCTCTGCTCCGGATCGGGTCAAGCCTTGGGGGCAGCGCCTACCGTAGCCGTCTCTCACACATGCAACTTGTGCTGCTGGCTTGTGTCACACAGCTTTGGCCGCTGGTTACAGACATGGCTACCGTTTATGGTGATGGCTTTGATCATCATTCTTATGGCCGTACTGATGTAATCCGACGCTGCCCAAGTCGGGGTTGTATCGTCTCCGTGTATTTGTGCTTTTGGTTGAGGAGGTCGCTGGATGGCCGGGCTGCCGTGCGGCAATTCGCGGCCATAAACCCGGCTAAAGCTGTCTGTCCTCGATTGCATACCGAGGGGCCACATACCTTGGTTGCACCGAGACCTGTTCGTCCGTATTGGTAATAATTTAAACGGGAAAAATGTGGTGGTCTTGATACGGTTGTTGACGTTGACACAAAACAAAGAAGTGAACGTCTTGCTTCCGGCAGAGGAACAAAGCACTGACAACTCACAGCCAGAGAGAGCCGCTTGGTTGAGCCACACTCTTGCCCAAAACACACGATAAACACAACGTCGGTCAGAGAGACACCGCAAGTCGATGCTACACCCCAGAGAGTCAGAGAGATTGGAGGGATTCAACGTGGTCACAGGTCTTTTCCTTTCTCTCTCTCTGCTGGTACGATGCGATGCACTCGAGGGTGTACACTGGGCCGCGTCCAAAGGGCAGCGCCGATCCAGTGACGACGGGTGACCGGGATAAGCGGCAGGGGTGAGGGCGAGGGTGAGGTCGAAGATGGGGCAGGGGTGGTGGTGGGGCTCATGTGGAGAAATGCTATCCCGGGTTATCGGGGTCTGGCAGTGCAAGGGGCAGGCAATACGTGTGAGCATGTGGACAAGATGTTGAGGCAGCTCCTGAACGATGTCGTCCTGGCAGCTGGGCAGTGCCTCCCCGGGCCTGATCTGGTTGATACTGGTTGAGAGTTTCTACTTGTGGCTGCTGAGTGTTGTGCTAGCATCCTGTCGTGTCGTCTCATTCTCGACTGCTTCTCTTGCTCGCTGCAGCCCTGGCACATGTTCTAGTGTTGGCGTGGACTTATCTTCCCCGCATCACTTGGCTATCCGCTGGCTACTTCCCTTGAAGGTGAGGCTTATCGATTTCTCGACGCCATTGCTTTCCGTGCCCACGCCCAGGGGCTGGCTGTGCTTGTCAAAGGGGATGGTGAGGCAAGCCAAGCCGCCGTGTGTGCGTGCTTGATCGAGTGACACACGGCGGCTTGATCGAGTGCGAGTGCGAGTGCGAGTGGTTGCGGCTGTCCTTGTCAATCGGCGTCGCTGCATTGGGCTGGTGTGCCGTGGCTGAAAGCCTACGTATCGTGCATTCGTGTTTTGTCTTTCTTTTGGATGTGGCTGGCACATTTACGGGCTGATTTCTCACGATCGATCCTTGCCTCTGTTGCTTTGATGCTGCTATCTACGCCTACCTCTTTTTTTTGGGGTGGGGACCTGTGTACTTTTGTTTTCTTCCTTTTTTTTTTTTCATGTGACAGTGAGCCGACTTTCCTTTCCTTTCGGACTACTACGACACCCAATCATGGACGCCGCTCGCGAATCCGACGCCCCGACCTATGCGGAGGCTTTCCCCGCCCTCGGTGGCAAGGCTGCGGCCCCCGCGGCTCCTGTCGTCTCTGGCGTGCCCCACGTTCGCTCGTCCAACGTGACTGAGGTGAGCTTCGCCGTTCCAATCCGGACTGGCCCTTTGCTCGCCCCAGCTGTTGTGCTCACGACGCCTGCCTCTCCATCCGACCCTCTTGACCTTGATCAGATGTTCCGCATCCCGTATGAGGAGCAAAAGTACAAGACGGACCACCCCTTCTCCCAAAAGGATTTCAACAAGATCCTCAAGGAGACGATCCAAGCGACCGGTGCCAAGATCTCGGCTTCCAACTCCCGCGACAAGACCCTCACCCTGACGGTGACTGGTTCTCGTTCCCAGGTCAACGCCGCCAAGAAGACCGTCCTGCCCAAGCTGCAGACTCAGGCCAGCATTGACGTGTCCATCCCCAAGGAGTACCATCGCTACATCATTGGCACCAAGGGCGCCGTGCGCAAGGAAATTGAGGACAAGCATGCTTGCCGCATCTCCATTCCCAAGACGGATGATCCCAGCCCCGTGATCAAGGTTGTTGGTACCACCGAGGGTTGCCGTGCTGCTGCCGCCGCCATTCAGAAGATTGCGGATGAGAAGGACAAGTTTGTGAACATCGATCTGCCCGTTCTCAAGGCCTACCACCCACTTTTGGCTGGCTATGAACGCTGCAACGTCAACCGCATCATGGAAACCACGGGTGTCAAGATTTTCATCCCTTCCCCCAACGTCGACCGCGATGAGATTGGTGTCAGTGGCGAGAAGGAGGCCGTCCAGGAGGCCGTGCGTCAACTCCAGGCCATCTACCAGGAGCTGCGTCGCACTTGCGGCGAGCTCACTGCCAAGGTGGCTCGTGACAAGCACCGCTTCGTCATTGGCATCAAGGGCGCCTTCCTCAAGGAGATTATGGAGAAGACTGGCGTTGTCGTTGAGGTGCCTCCCCCGGACAAGGAGGACGAGACCCTCATCCTCCGCGGTGAGCAGCCCCGTCTCGTGCACGCCCTCACCATGGTGTACGAGCGTGCCAACTCGGTTGACCTCGCCAAGCTCGATGTGCCTGGATGGTTGCACCGCCGCATCATTGGCAAGGGCGGTGCCAACGTCCAGGCTATTGCCAAGGAAATGCCCAAGGTGCACATCAACTTTGAGAGCGAGAAGGATCTGATTGAGATTGAGGGCCCCACCGCCGAGGTGGCCGCCGTCAAGCAGAAAATTTCTACCATGGCCCAGCAGCTGGCTGCCACGCTCTCCTATGTGGACATTGAGGTGGACCAGCAGTATCACGGTCACATTGTGGGTGTCCGTGGCGCCAACATCCGCCAGATCCAGGACGAGACTGGCTGCGAAATCAACATGCAGCGCGACTCGGACGTCATCCGCGTCGAGGGTACCCCGCAGGCCGTGGCCGCTGGCCGCGCCAGCGTTGAGGCCCTGGTCCAAAAGGTCAAGAACCAGCGCAACATTGACATTATCGTTCCCACCAAGTGGCACTCGCAGATCATTGGCGCCAACGGTGCTCGCCTCAACGAGCTCCGTGTCAACTACCCGGATCTGAGCATCAACTTCCCTTCGCGCGACTCGGGCTCGGAGATTATCAGCGTCCGCGGTGACAAGACCGCCGTCGATGCTGCCGACCAGTGGTTCAAGAAGACTGTCAAGCAGATTGAGGCCGAGAACTACCAGGAGGAGGTTGCCATCTTCCGCCGCTTCCACAGCGAGATTATTGGCAAGGGTGGCGCAGCCATTCGCAAGCTCCGCGACGAGCACAACGTTCGCATCGATGTGCCCAAGGCCGAGGAGGAGAGCGACATCATCCTCGTGACCGGTCTTCAGGCCAACGTGCAGGCCGCTGCTGACGCCATGCGCAAGATCCAGGCCTCCATCGCCAACATTGTCAAGGAGGATGTCACTGTGCCCCAGAAGCTGCACCCCTTTATCAGCGGTCCCAACGGCTCCTCGGTTCGCGGTATTCAGGACGAGTACGAGGTCTCGATCCGCGTGCCCTTCCCCAAGGAGAAGTCGGACACCATCACCGTCTCTGGTCCCTCAGAGAACGTTCCCAAGGCCGTGGCCAAGCTCAAGCAGCTCATTGACGGCGGCGTCGACAACATCAAGATTGTCGAGATGAAGGTCGAGGCCAAGCACCACCGCTTCCTCATCGGCAAGGGCGGTGCTTTCCGCAAGCAAATTGAGGCTGATTCTGGCCTTTTCCGCTTGGCCTTCCCCTCCCAGCGCACCGAGTCCAAGGAGGACCCCAACACTGTCACCCTCATTGGTACCCCTGCCGCCATTGAGAAGGCCAAGGCCCAGATCGAGCAGCGCGTCAAGGAGCTGGAGAGCGTCGTGGACAAGTCGGTTGAGCTGGACTCTACCTACTTTAAGGACATGCTGGCGCGTCGCGCCGCTTTCCTCCAAGACCTGGCTCAGGAGTTCCCCACTTGCCACGTCAAGGTGCCCCGCCCGGATGCCGAGGGCAACTGCAGCAACACGGTGAACGTGCGTGGCAGCCCCGGTGAGGTGGATGCCGTTATCGAGCGCCTCCAGGACTTTATCCACCGCCGCGCCAATGCCATTGAGAAGGGTTACGAGGTTGCCGCCGACAATCTGCCCTCCCTCATGGGTACCAAGGGCGTTCACATTCAGCGCATTCAGAAGGAGTGCCAGGTCAGCATCCAGGTGCCCGACCGCAGCCAGCGTACGCCCGACCAAACGACGGTCGAGATGAAGATCTCTGGTCTGCCCGAGGACGTCGAGCGCGCCATTGCCGAGTTTGAGGCTTTGACCCCTGTTTTGGTGGAGTATGATCTGCCTGCCGAGTACCACCGCTTCATCATTGGCGAGAAGGGTGCCGACATCTCTGCGTTCCAGTCCACTTACGATGTGCGCCTGGAGATTCCCAAGCCTGCCGAGGCTCGCGACTCGATTGGCATCCGCGGTACGCCCGCGGCCATTGAGAACGCCAAGCAAGGTCTTAAGGAGCTGATGCCCAAGCTCGAGGACCTCAAGGCCCAGAACTACACCATGACCATGGAGGTCCCCGCTAGCTTCCATGTTGAGATCATTGGCCGCAACGGCGCCAATGTCAAGAAGCTTCGCGCCGAGTACGACGTGCGCGTGGACTTCCCCCGCAAGGAGGGATCCGACGAGGTGACTCTCCGTGGCTACAAGGAGAAGTGCGAGGCCTGCGCGGCGGCCATTCAGGCCCAGGTGGACAAGCTCAACTCGTACATCATCAAGCCCGTGAACATCAACTCGGCCATCCACCGTCGCATCATCGGCCCCAAGGGTGCCAACCTGCGCAAGCTGGAGGAGAAGTTCTCCGTCTCCATCAACATGCCTCGCGACCGCGACAGCGATCTAATCGAGGTCATGGGTAACGAGCCCGATGTGGATGCCTGCATCGATGATCTGCTTGAGCTCCAGGACGAGTTGGTACGTGCTGGGCCCTGAGTGTTTATGCCTTTGTTTCGCATGCCATGTCATCTCGTCTTTGTTTTTCGGTTCTGATCACCGCCTCGCATCAGAGACTCACCCTTCGCTTTGCCCATGCTTGTTTATCGCCGGGTGTCTTTGTCGGGTGACAGGAGGATGACATTGTCCTGCAAAAGGCTCACACCAAGCCCGCTCGCAGCGAGCCCAAGGCCAAGTCGCAGCCCAAGGCCTTTGCCATCCGTGAGGCGCCCTGGTCTGGCAGCAGCGATGCCAGCTTTCCCACCCTGGGCGAGCAAGCTGCCCCCACCTCGGCCATGGGTGTGTGGGCCACGCGCAAGTAGACACCAGGTGTCCTCATGCTTTTTTTCCGACTGTGCTGTCAGCAGCTTTTCCTTTGGTTTTCCTCTCCCTTCGTCCTTTTTCCCCCACCCTTTTCTAGCTTGGCGCTCTACCTTGATGCAGTCGCCTTAATGCTGGTGTTGCACCGGGCCAACTGAATACATAACCGTTTACTCCCATGGCGAATCGACAAGATTTCTTCTCTCGATTGTTTGTGGTCTAATCGGGCCGATCTAATAGCTGGCTCTTGGAAAAAACTTCCAAAGGCAAAAAGTGCCATGGGTAGTATGTACACCATGCACGTACAGGGTTTCAAAAGCTGTGGCGAAACTTGGCCCAGCCCATGCGAAACGGCAAAAGGCCCGAGGTTTGAGCGAGGTTTGGGTGGAAAGGGTTGAAGTCGGCTTTCAGCAGCTGGTCCAAATATTGTTGTAGCGCAACCGCAGGCAGATAGGCCGAGGCAGCGGTCTTCAGCTGAGTTTCATCGGCCTGGTATTCCAGACGCGCTGTCCTCAACCGGCGGCCAAGACGGATTGAGAGGGCGAGCAGGCGTATGAGAAAGGGCTAAAATGTGTACGAGCGCTTTTGTGAGCCACCAAACATGCCCACCTGTGTTGAGATGGCGGACGGCATTGCTCGCTACGGCATGAACAACGTCTTGAAGTTCAGTCGTGACTTCACCTAGGCAGTGGGCGCCGAGGGAGCGGCCGTGAAAATGGGACTGTCAGAGCCCGTGTCGGCATGAATGGGGCCTGCTGGACGCGGCATGTTTTACCTCGAAGGACGGTAGGGGCCCTTAAGCCATGATGGGCGCACAGTTCCACGGGCAAACGGCACTGCGTCAACGGAGCCATTGGTGCGGGAGGGAGGTCAGTTCGGACGGGATGAAATCGACTGTCGCCTGTCGCCGCAGCGCTGAAGTACACTGTCGGGGGCGCGTAAGAAGACTGTCGCATCGGAACACAGGACAAAACATACCAAGTTGCGCTTGGCAAGGAACGGCAAGCCGCGCAGCAGCGTGACATGTCCTTGCGCCTTGCCCTGGAAACATTCAATGTGCAAGGAAGCCAAGTGAGTGATGTGACACCATTGACCCTGATTTATTCCAGAGGCTGTTGCGAGGCGGCACATGGTGCAGTGACGTACAATGTGGGAGGCAATGTGTTCAGCGGTATGATTGCGGATATGCATGGCTTCAAGTGTGAGATACAAGAGGGTCGAAGCAGTATCCTCGGCGTATCGCTCCAGTTGTGGAATGGAGGCAAAGGGCACGTCCGAGTCCTTCTCGCGCGCCATGATGAGTCGTCGCAAAAAGGTACGGGTGAGCTGAAGCTGCTGCTCTTGCTGCAGGGTCTCGAGCTCCTGCATAACGGGGGTCTGTGGCAAAGGTCGACCCTGACCAAGAGCAATCCGCAGGGTCGTGAGAGAGCTGGCTCAGAGCGAGTATGCAGGCACGTCGACGCTCACGCTGCACACCTGGTCAAAGAGCGCATCGATAGCATCCTTCCAGAACAAAAAGCGCATCGAGGTGGTGGCTGGCTCCCGAGCTGAGTCCCTGGGCGGCAAAGAAAAGTTTAGCAATGATCAACGTCGTGAGTCGGTCAGTGCTGCCTAGCTGGCAGGTGTGGCAGGTCTCAGCCGTGTCAAATCAGTTCACAGACCGAATCGTAGCCACCTCGATGTTGAGCGCGCGCAGCGCAAAGACTGCGCGCTGGGCTGTGCTCGGGAGAAGAAGAGTCGCCAAGTAGTGGTCCCGATCATAGCGACTGTACGTGCGGGCACAGCTGTGAGGACAGAGGCATCGCAAGGTCGGCGGTGAGCCGTGTGGCTCTGTCGTTTCGTCACATACCGCACGAGCTCGCGACAGTACGCAGCCGCTGACGGGCTCTTCTGTCCCTCTGCATTCGAAGCACTCGCAGAGTTCCATCGACGCTGCTGTTTGAGCGCTGTTGACGCAGATGGGATGGCTGCCCGCATACTTGCTCGGCAACAGCCACGCAGTGGCACCAGCCATCGCGGCACAACACCCGCCGCCGCTGCCATGACGTACCACACACACACACGTTCGAAAATTGGGAAAGAAAATGAAATTTACCACATGTGGGGACATGACTCTGTCTGTTGTTGTTGATGATGACTGTTCATTGTTTTGTTGCTTCGACTCGAGGCCTACGCTTCTGCCTCGCAGACCGAGCCTTGCACACGCTATTGCCTGAGCAAAGACATTGGCTTTGCCACGACATGGGGGTTGGCATGTTTAAAATCGTAATTGGTTCTTAATTATTATGTGCAAGACCGGGCTTATCGATGATGTGATGCTATCATGTCATGGAATGTCGGGATTTCTATGGCATTGGTGAAGAGGCGGGCGAAGTGTTTTGGAGATTGGGGCCGGCCCGATCCCGGCGAGGGGTCGAGGTTGCCACGGGTGCCAAACCAAGGCGGTCCAAAGGAGTGCGGGGGGTGTGGGGACTTTGTACTGAGCTCCGTCGTCTGCCCAAGCTGAGCTCGCGCGAGCTTGTCACGCTGTGCGCCTGCATCATGTGCCGCAATTGAGCAATTGAGCAGTCCTTTGAACCAATATGCAGAGCAGCAGGCATGTGCAAAAGCAAGTTGGCCACAAACCGCTTCCATGGAGCCGCAGAGATCTTCGATGCAAGCACTAATGCGCACATCCGACTCGCGGAGACGCTGGCGCAGCGCTCGACGCTCCTTACTGCCCGAATCCACCTTTTCCTGCCGGATCCCAGCGAGCACAGCGGGTGGCACATGTTGGCCAGGCAAGCCCGGCAGCAGGTTTAGAAATGGTTTCAATAATCCACTCTCTTAGTCCTTGGCTTTCACAGCGCGGTGGCACATGTTGGCCAGGCAAGCCCGGCAGCAGGTTTAGAAATGGTTTCACTAATCCACTCTCTTAGTCCTTGGCTTTCACAGCGCTGGAAGGGAAGACACAGAAGAAGAAGCAAAAAAGGGAAGAAAAGGAAAAAAAAAAAAAAAAAAAAAAAAAAAAAAAAACCGATCAAACGCGAGAGGGGTCCCCTCAACCCACCTTTGCGGTCCGATGTCCGCCACCTCGACGCACGACAACACACATTTGCTCCATGGCAGCAAGGCAGGCTTGCATTTCTGACAAATCCAGCCCGACAGTGGCGGCAGTGGCGTCCGACATGCCTCCCAACTTGTGCAGCACCCTAAGCAGCTCTTCTCTCGTTTGTTCCGTTTGCACCACGGTTGAGGTGACTCGATGCCGAACGTCGGACTGGGCGTCCACGTTGTGACGAGGCGGAGTGTTGGCATGTGCATCTTGCAGCAGTGCTACCGCGCGAGCCGTGGCATTGACATGTAGCTGCACAATGTCTGCTACGCAAAGGCGGGCTTTGCGACGCGTAGCACGCACAGCTTGCACGGTTGCATCATCGCGCGAGGCTTGTGCCAGCGCTCGTACACCTTCGGCCATGCGGCGCAAAAGCAAGCCAGCTGCCGGCTCGATGGGCGGCTGTGCATCGGTTTGTGTGGCCACGCCAGCAGTGCCTGGCATGACGGACGGTGCGCGCTCCAACGCGATGGCCAACCGTAGCAAGCGCTTCGCGGCATCTCCCTCTGGCAAGCCGCGCCCAGAGGCCCCGGCTGACTTGCCGTCAGTATGTACGTCGTCCTCTGCGCCTGGCAAAACAGGTGGGGGCACAGGCTTCAGTTGTTGGCAAGCTTGTGAAAGGCTCTCTTTTATATTTGTCAAAGCAAGGCTACATTGATGAAGCTGTTCCTTTGGATCATGGCGAATATCAGCTTGAAGCACACCAACAGTGTTTGCACCCATCATATCCGGCGCGGCTCCCTGACTCACGAGCTGCAATCGTTGAGAGAATGCGTGCTTAAGCTCGCGTATGCTAGCCGCTGCATGCAGGCTGACATTTTTCGTTTGGGTCTGCAGCTCCACGCGCAGCTGCTGCAAATCGTCTCTTAAGACCTGGAGGGTTGCTCGCACAGGTTGACCAGCCGCACGACATGCAGTTGCAACAGCTTGCTGCACGGCCGCCATGAGATCCCCCAAAGCACGCAGCTGGTGCTCCTTGAAAGAGTAAATGTGCGCCCGCTGTTGTTTGAGATCGGTGCGCAGACTCGCAATCACCTCCCGACTTGTAGTTGCAAATGCGCGCAGGCAACGCTGTGTCGTGGCCAGGTCCGTTTTGGCGCGTTGGCAAAGGTGATTAGCCTGATCCCGCTCGCTTCGCAAGCGCTCTCCAACAGCTTGAAGACGGTTTTGCTCTTCGTGCGCCTGCTTCACAGCTTCGTTACTCGCGCAGCGAGCATTCTCCAAGTAACGACTTTGTTCCGTTAAATCTCTTTGTGCAGCTTCAGCGCTGCGCCGCGCCTCGTCGGCCTTTGCCAACCGGATTTGCGATTCGTCTGCTGCGCGCTTCCACTCATCAACTCGACGATGAGACACGGTAATTCGAGCCTGCGCTGCTCGACGAGCATCTAGCTGGGCAACCGCAACGGCGCGGGCACCCTCATGTGCCGTCTGAGCTTGCGCCAGAGCCGCCTCACTCGCTGCACAGGCTCGCTGCAGCTCCGCCAGCTCACCAGTCAATTTTTGTTGCTGCTGATGTGCCATATTTTGCTGCTCTTGCAATTGGACCTTTTGATGATGCAACTGCTCCCGCCACTGGGCTTCGTGACGTTGAAGTTGCTCCTGTGATTGTTCCTTTTGAAGTTGTAGCTGCTCGGCGTGAGCCGCGCGCGTAGATTCCAGGACACTGTGAGCGGCTTGCAACTCCCGCTGTAACTCCTTCACCGTTGCCTCGACGTTGCGTTGTGAGACGCGACAATCCGCGAGGTCGTGATACAGCTGCGTTGAGTGTGCCTCCGCTTTTTGCGTGGCTGCTTTTTGGCTTGCAAGCTCATGCTCAAGGGTGGCTATCCTGGCCGAAGCATCGCCGGTTTGGGTGCGAGCCGTGGCCAGATCAAGCTGCGCTTGTCTGGAATGCTGAAGCAGGAGGTCTTGGCGGTGAGCATGTTGGGCTCGCTGAGCGGCCCAGGCTTCCTGAGATCTGTTCAAGCTTGCCTTGGAGGCCTCCTGCGCACGAAATGCCCGTGTTAAGCGATCCAATTCCCTGGTTGCGGCGACAATCTGGCCCTGGAGCTCGTTGGACATGAGCTCAACGACGCGCTGGGCAGCGGTTCGTGTTGCAAGCTCGCGGTGCAAACCTGCTTGGCTTTCCTCCTGCGCAGCTTGATACCAGTCAAATTCATCCTTTAATTGCTCATACTGCTGCTCCAGTTGATGCTGATTGGCCACTTGGCGCTCAAGATCAGCCACGACATCTGCATGAGCGCGTTCGGCCTCTTCAAAGGCCTTCACTTGCTCGGTCATGGTATGCATGGCGTCTTTGTACCGCAGCAGCTCTTGTTGAATAGCTGCGGCCTCCCGTGCGTGCTCCTGGCGTGCCTGGGCCAAGTCCTCGCGAAGACGCTCTTGTTCTGCAGTGAGCTGCGTTTCCACTTGACGGCGCTCGGTAGTAAGTTGCGTCATGCGTTTATCAAAGGAGTGTCGCTCCTCTGTCAACTCTTTTTGTACTTTTTGTCGCTCCTCTTCAAGCTGCGCAAGGTCTGCATCGGCGCGCCCCTGCTCCCTGGCCAGGGCCTCCGCCAGCTTTTGGCGCTCCTCAGTCAGCGTTTCTTCCAGCTGTTGGCGTTCCTCTATCAACTGTTTGAGCTGCATTTCTTGGGATTGCTGCTGTTGGGCAAGCCGCTTTTCATGTTGCTGTCGCTCCTCATCCAATTGCGTCTCAAATCGCTGCCGCTCAGCGGTAAGGCGCGTTTCATAGGACTGGCGTTGCTTTGCCAAGTCAGTCTCGAGTTGCTGTCGTTGCTGGGTCCAGGCATGACTGTCAGATTGTGAGCGATCCAGGGCTGCACCACGCTCGGAGCGTTCTCGTTCATAGGCTTGTTGCCACTGGGAAGCGTCTTGCCGAGCCGCGGCAAGTTTCTCTTCTTGCTGCGCTAACAAGGTCTGCAGGTCCTGAATTTGGCTCATTTCGGCATCGTTTGCAGAGGTGTTCTGCTCAAGACTCTGGAGGACGGCGGTTAGCTGCTGCTCCAACGCTTGTCCGCGTGTGAGAGCGGTGTCTCGAGCCTGCTCGACCACAAGAAGGCGGGCTTTTAGCTCTTGCGCTTGCGTCGCGTGCTCGGAAGCGGCCTGCAGTTGCTCACGGGCACGGTGTAGCTCAGCGGCGGCACGATCCTTTTGTTTTGACAATTCATCGCGGTGTCGTGCCTCCATGATCTCTTGAGCCTCGCAGCGAGCGTCAAGCTCACGGCGTAAGGTTGCAATGGTGGCTTGCGCTGCCTGGGCCTTTTTTGCATGTTCGTCGCAATTGGCTGCTTGAGCTTGAAGGTTGGCTTGCAGATCAAGCAAGTCCTGGCGCAGCCGGGCCTGCTCTTGGTGATGTTGCTGTATAAGGGCCTGCTCTCTCTCTTGGCACTGAGCCAGTTCCTGCTGCAGTTTGGACTCGGAAGCTGCAGCTCTGGCATGTAAGTCAGTGTTCTGCTGCCTGGGACGTGCCAGCTCTGACGGGGACGCTGGCAGCACTTGCGATGAGGTGGCTGCTTGCCGAGCATGGTCTCGCTCGCGTTCTGTTGCGCGCAGCTGAGCAGTAATGCTTTTGACTTGGTCTTGCCAATAGGCATCCCGCTCGTCAATGGCTCTCTGTAGTTCTTGAGCCTGGCTCTGCAGCTCGACTGTATAGCGTTCCTAGCAGTCGAAGCGTGTGACCAGGCGACACGACAAAGATGTTCAGGTTTTAGATGGTGGGTGAGGTGGCATTGGCTAGGGTCGGTTGTCATTAGAATGCGCCACTCACCCGAAGCTCATTGTTGGAGGCTTGAATCATGGAAGTGGCTTCCTGAATGAGACGTTCTTTATATTCGTGGGTGGTGGTTTGCAAGATGCTCTCATGCTCAGCACGGGAGAGGTGATCTGGGGGGCGCCGGGAGTCCTCCAGGGATGTCAGGCCTGGGTCCGAGCCGGTCGCGAGGCCATTTTTGTATTTCTAGACATGGTGTCGGGGGATCAGACTGACGGCTGTGCAAGCCGGGTAGAGCCGGTGGCAGAGCTGGCTAGGGTCGGTCGCACCTTGAGTTTTGCTTGCAACTTTTGGATCAGGAGACGCTGCTCCTGAGCTGTAACGCGGAGAAGGCCAACCTCTCGACTAGAGAGTTTGGGAAATAGGATGAGATGCCGAGAGCAGGGTGGCAAGACAGGTTGGGAACACAGCACAATATGTGGGCCTACCGCAGCGAGCTCTCGGTGTGGGTGTGTGTCAGAGCGACGAGCAGAGAGTCGTTGGGGGCTCCGAAGCTGCCAGATGTCCCAGAAGGCGAGTGATGCATGAGATCATCATATCAAGAGAGAAGGCCAGCCACGAACCAGGGGCCAGACCTTTGCAGACCACGGACCTTGGCTCGAGAAACGATTTGCCGGGAGTACTGTGCAAGAGCCAGGACGTCTCACCCCCTAGCCACATGTGTCATCGTGAGCCAACGCGATTCATTTGTTCGTGTTGGCGTCGGTGCGTCTAGCCCAACATTTTCTCATTTTGTCTTATTGGCAGCGCGGGCGTCAAGGCATACACAGACCAGCCGGCTGAGCGGGCACGCGGCGGGACATGTCAAGGGAGGTGCTGAGATCCTGGGCGATGCGACTGCGCTCGGCTTGGAAGACGTCATCGAGCTGTTGGAGGACAGCCATTTTGCTGCGGGCATGGTCGTTGATTTCCACAGTCAAGATGACGCAAAGGCAAGTCAAAGCCAAGGGGCAGGGCAAGCAACGGACCGAGTGGCGTGTTCGCGAAGCTCTTGAAGGCCCTGGCGCACGTCGGCGGCGTCGGCCATGATCACCACACCCTAGCACATGCTGTGGGTGTGTCCAAAGAGCTAATGTTGTCCAAGATCGAGGCATCGACATACATCGCGCTGTGAGCAGGATTTACCAGTGCGTGGAGATGCAAGGCGCATGCCTCATGGCATGAACTAGCTGCCACGGCATGTCAGTCGCCACCAGCTCTTCCGCCTCGCTTGCCACCGACGACCCCACCTCCGACTCGTCGCACTGCAAGCACCCAGTGCACTATGGAACCAAAAAAAAAGAAAAAAAAAAAAAAAAACCGCCACTTGAGATAGTGTAGCAAAAACTACACTTGACATTGATATCAAAGTGTTTTACTTCATTAGGAAGTGGGTGAAGTAAATTACTATGTCGGGAGTATCAGCTGCTTTTCGGTTCTTGGAGGGAAAGCCAAGCATGTGGCAGAGGGAGCAATGGTGTGGAAACACGACAAAGAGTAAATGCAAAGCGAAATCAGAGATGTTTGGGAGAAGCGACGTCAGCAATACATGAATTAGCAATACGTATTGAGAGATGCGGTCCGAGGCGACCATGCACCCAAGAGATGCGAAGCGTCGTGGTAAAGAGGTCTATGACGAAACCAAGGGCTAAGCAGAGAGACGATTCCCGTCGTGTTACGACATAGAGATGTACAGTGTTAGTGTTAGTGTTGAACTATTTTTTTTCCCTGGCGCAGGTCACTCAGGTAAGGTTCTGGTTCTAAACGGCAGCGGCAGCGTGAGTTCGCCAGCCCTGCATTCAATTGAATTGGCGTACATGGTCGCCATCACGCCTGTTCCTTCGCGTGTCCAGTTGTGCATGGCTCTGTCCCCTCTTGGGGTTTCTTGGTTTGCGTTTTGTGTGGCCGCGTTGTGGACGTTGAAGCAGGACTCGCGCTGCCCTTTGGCGCCGTACCCGTCGTCCATGCCTCACGCTTGCATTGGTGTCGGTTTGCCCGGGGTTATCTTGTGGTGTACGTGCTTGTTATCTGACTGCACCATCTTGGGTGGGTGTCGGGTGGTGTAGCATAGAGGACCTTTGAAGATGGCGCGCGCTTCGCTGTTGTTGGTGCTTGTTGCGGTCGCAGCGGCGGTGTCGGCCGTCGAGTTGTTCCCCAAGCAACTCAACGGTCCGCCCAGCGAGTTTTCTCGTCATGGCATTCCCGATGCCACCAAGGGCGCCCTCTACCGCGACTCAGCTCTCTTCTTTGTGAAGTACCAGGCCAGCGCTACCAACGCCAATCAGCTCGTTTTCACTCAGGATCTGGCCGTCGATTCGACCACGGCCTTTCGTCTCGTCGTGCGCACCTCCCTCGACGACGTGGCTACCGTTGCCGTCACCGCCCCAGATGGCTCGGCCTTTGATCTTGATGCCTATGCCTCGAACGTACGCCTTGCTCTCGCTTTGCCTGCTCCTGGTTCTCGTTCTCCTCATCCGTTCTTCATTCGTTTTTGTTCACACGTTTTTTTTTTTTTTTCTTTCGACTGGTCACCTGCTTGTTCGTTTCGCCGGCTCATGTGACCGTCTCTTCCAACGGCTTGGCCATTTGCAGTCCATGTGGCCCATCGGTGATCAGATCATCAACACCACCGTCTACGAGGTGCCCAACCCCGTGACCGGTGTGTACCAGCTCACCCTCACCGTGGACGGCATGTCCGAGGACGACTTGCGCGCGTTTGTTGCCGACAAGCCACGTGGTACGACCCACCAGGGCCTGGTCATTCTTCAAAACGATGCTCCCGAAGAAATCTACTCTCATCTGAGCACCTACAAGTCAAGCATGTGCCAGTCGGACGATCTTACCATCCTGGCTCGCATGTACGACGCCTCCGCCAACCCCAAGCTCAGCGGTGTCAACAAGGGTCTGGCCCCGACCCCGCTGCGCGAGTCCGTCACCTCGGCGGAGCTCGAGATTATCTATCCCGATGGCTCCATCCACGAGGTTGCCATGCATGACGACGGTCTGCACTCGGACGGCGAAGCTGACGACGGCGTCTTTGGCGGCGACTTTGTGCCTGCCGACAAGGGCTACTACCTGGTCCAGTCTGTCTTCCGCGGTACCAACGACGCCGGTGCTCCGTATGTGCGTACGGCTGAGCATCAGGTGAAGATTGTGGCAAACGACATCCGCCTTGCCTCAACCTACACCACCGAGCTGCACACCTCGGCCCCCCGTGTTGTCTTCAAGGTGCCCGTCTCGAATGCCGATGGTTCGCCCGTGGACACCTCCGCCGGTTACCGCGCCTACGCCCAGGTCTGGGGCAAGCACCTCTTCTCCAGCCAGCAAACGGCCACGGCCTGGACCTCGGCCCTCGTCTATCCCCAACAGGCCACCGATGGCTCGTACTACGTGCCGCTCGAGATGGACCTCAAGTGGGCCCTCAAGGCCGGTACCACCTACCCCTTCACTCTCCAGGACGTGTATCTGCAAGAGGTGAACACCATGGTGCCCGTGGCCACCATGGATACCATGACCCTCGACTCGTATGATCGCAGCGTCCATGTCGGCGTCTCGCGGGCCCTCTTTGGTCTCAACCGCACCTATGCTGGCGAGGAGGACGAGGCCATGCGCTTTGGTATCCGCCCGGCTCATCTCCAGCGCACCAACCTCACCGACTCAACCCGTCGCCTCGTCCTCCTCCACGGTTACTGTGCCGACGGCAACCCCTGGCAGAAGCAGTCCGAGGTGCGTCGACCAGGCTTTTTTTTTTTTAAATTGTCACGTCCTCATCGCCCTTTGTCCTTGACAAACATACCATTTTGTACACCGTAAACTCCATCGCGCCACGTCTCATCGAATCTTGCACACATAGGACTGGCCTGCGGACGCACTGTACTTTAACGACGCTAAGCAGTCGCGCAGCCATGACGAGTTTGCCCAGCTTGTACAGCAATTCGTGGCCGACAGCGGTGTTGACTCATACGCTCTCATCGGCCACAGCCAGGGCGGCATCGTGACCATGCACACTCTCAACTACTACTGGACCGGTCTGGATCTGGCTCCGGTATGAAACGTTGCGCACGTTTATTACCTTGTGATCCGGCCGTGCCCACACCACACACCACGGCTCTTTGCTGGCAGCGACTTCGTCTTACTGTGGGGCTCACCCTTTGTGCTGGGTTGCATTCGATGGCTGATGCATAGGATGGTGTGCGCAAGACCCAGAGCCTGGCTTCGCCCTACCAGGGTAACACGGGTGCTGGTGGCTGGGCCGAGCTTCTTGGCTCGCTCGGTGGCTGTGGCGAGAACCAGGATTTGACTCGTGACGGTGCCGAGCTCTGGCTGGCCGGCCTGAGCGCTGCGGCAGTTAGTCAGCAGTTCTTTTACACGACACAATATGGTCCTGGTGAGTCATTCGAATGAAGTTCATGTTGATCTCAGAGCTGCGCCCATTCTTCGCCCACGCTCACACGCTTGATCACGATGTCTTTTCTCCTCCACAGGCGGTTTGTTTGGTGATGGCTACTGCAACAAGCTTGTCAACACAGTCTTGAAGAAGCCCAACGACGGTGCCACAGAGAGCGAGTATGCGCCTCTCGAGGGCGCTACGCACGTCGACAACTTTGTCGGCCAGTGCCACATCCCGGACATGAACTGGCCCGCGTCCTTTTGGGACAAGGATCGCAATGCCGAGATGCGTGCTGCGGCCGGCTTTTAAAAGCCGTGTTTTTCTTCCCTCACCGGCACCGTTGCGTTTGCATATCATGCGCAACTTCTTTGCATGTTCAAAAATAAGTACTTTGTATGGCTGTTTGTGAGGGTGTCCCCAGCGTGTGTGGCGTTCAGGATTGCAGTTGATACCCCAAAATAAAAAAAAAAAATGAAAAAGCGTGTCAATTTTATGGGAAACCCGAGGGTTGGTTTGCCCTGGCCAACGCTTCCGGCCAACAACAGCGTTGCGTTGAACCACGTAATAAAAGCCAAAAGATAGGAGAAGAAAAGGAAAAAAAAAATGAAAAACTCAATGCAAGTCGAGAGGAGAAGGGGGTTAGACGGGGGAAAAAAATAAGAGGAAAACAAAGGCAAAAACATTCAAAGGCACGGCCTAAAAGGTTGCCATCTGGTCGCTGCGGTAGCCAAGCTGTGCAAACGGGAACAATGTGGGATCCATCGTGAGGTCTTGGTCAAAAGAGACATGGGAGGCGTGAGAGGCATTGTCTGAGGCGAACGCACCTTCTCCAGGTTGGGCACACAGGCAAACTTGAGCATTGGGGGGGGACCGCACATCAAAGCCTGATTCAACACGTCAAACAAAAAGACCAGGTGAGAAGCGACGGCAAGTTGGTTCGAAGGTGAGCAATAAGGCGCCAACACCATTGTCAGGCGAGGTCGCACCTGTACATCCTCGCCGACAGGGGGCAAGTGCTCGCGGAGCATGGCTTCATCGATGTAGCCCTCACTACGATGAGGATTGAGGAAGACGGTAAGATGAGATGATAATGTCCAAACACCACAATTTGAGGAGAAAGCACACCGATTTAAAAGATGGCTCGGGGAGAACGCGAAGCGAGCGTAGAGCCACAGAGCAATGACAAACCTGTACTTCCAGCCAGGACCGGCCTTATCAATGGTGTACCAGATGTGGAAGCGGGGATCTTCAGCCACTTCATCCAGCTCCTTGCGCAGCAAAATGTCATCCTCCGACTACAATTTGACGGAGGTGGCGTGAGAGCGGTCGAGTGGACGGAAAGCAAATCGCAGAATAGGACTGGTAGGCAAGCAACGGGAGCGGCTTGATCGCTGTACCTTGTTGGCAAAGACGAGGTAGACCTCGGTACGGTCAGCAGGGTTCTTCTTGATGGCACGGATGATCTATTTCGGTGCAGATGAGCATGAGAATGCGTGTCGTTGGATGAGCACAACAACGAGAGATTGGAGGATCGTTTAGATGACTCGATAAGAGTCAAAAGTACCTGGAGGCAAGGGGTGATGCCGGTGCCACCCGCGATCATGGCAAACTTGGTGACGTTCTTGACGATTGGTGCCGACTTCTTGTCCTTGTGGAGGATAATGACGCCAGGGCGGGCATACTCAATGTGGCCAGCCGGGCCACGCACGTCGATGGTATCACCAATCTTCATCTGATCAAAGTACTGGCTCATTTTGCCGCCATCGGGGAAGCGAGGGGGGAGGGGTTTGTAGACCTTGATGACCATGTCAAAGTAGCCAATCTCATCGTTGGAGGAAACGGGAGTGTAGGAGCGGACCACGAGCTTGCCATCGACCTTGCAAGAAAAGTTCATGTGCTTGCCGACGGGCAGGCCAAGCACATGTTCGGGGGATTGGAGCGCAAAACGGAAGCGAGTCGTGTCGTGGCTCAACACCTATTCGAAGAGATGGGAGTCGGGAGTTTTGTGCGTGAGGTGCGGCACACAAGCAGACCAGATTTGCGGGAGAGTGGGAGTGTGCGGGTGGATCGTCTCCAAGACGGACCTCCTTCTCAATGAGGGCAAAGGGAATCTTTTGGTCCGGGTTGAGGGCAATAGGGGGAGAGCGGTGGCCAAAATAGTAGGCTGCGCCCAGGCCGACCAAAAGGGCACCGGCACCAAAGGGCAGGCCCACCAGAACACCGGCGCCGGCGGCGACGATGCCCGTTACGCCGAGCAGCCTGTTGGCCACGGACGAGCGAGTGAGTCAGCAGTCCGTTCATGCTTTGTAAGCAGAGCAGATTGTAGCCACGATGGCGGCGAAGGTGCAGACATACTTGATATCCATGCTGCACAAACGTTCCCACAGGGTCGTCGCAGCCATGTCCCACCCACAAGATGGAGAGGGAGAGGAAGGCAGGAAGGACCAAACGCCCAGCAGATCGACAGCGCACAAGAAGGAGGGGAGGACGTCAAGGGGGCGAGATGAGGAATGAACCCGTTCACAGCACTCAGCCGCCGCGATCAACAGCACAGGTGGGAGGGGGTGACTGCTCTGCAGATCGAGCGCCGCCAGTAAAATGCACCCTCTGTGTGTGTGTGTGTGTGTGCTGACACTGGGATGCCAATGCGGGCAGTCAGAGACGGAGAAGGAGAGAGAGAAAGAGAGAGAGACGAGAGAGAGACGAGAGAGAGACGAGAGGTGCGTCGTCGAGCCACGAGGCAAAAGTGAGAGAGCGAGAGAGAGCGAGAGAGAGAGAGAGAGAGAGAGAGAGAGAGAGAGAGAGAGAGAGAGAGAGAGAGAGAGAGAGAGAGAGAGAGAGGGAAAGTGGTCTTGATGCAAGGTCGTATGGAGAGAGAAAGAGAGAGGGAGAGAAAGGAACAGTCGGTTTAATTACCTGATGGATGTGTCGGGAGATTTCGTGGTGCAGGGGCAGGGGCGGGGGCAACTGCACGTGGCCGGGCAAGCAACAGCAAGATGGCAGCGGGTGGGGGGGAGTGTGTGTGAGCTGCTGCTGCGACCGTATACCAGCAGCCAGATGCATAGACACACAGCCGTGAGTCTACTCAACCCCGGCTGTATTGACCACGGACAGAGAGCGAGAGGGCGAGAGAGCCGGAGCGAGAGAGAAAGAGAGAGAGAGAGGGAGCCAACAGGAGGAAGGGAGCGAGGTGCGAGGCGCAGGCAAGCTCACATGTGCGGAATATCAGCCGGTGGGAGAGGGGGGGTTGAGAGAGGGGAGAGGATCAGAGATGGCGTGGCTAGTAGGAGGGAGTAAAGGGGAAAAAGCAAGGCAAAGTAGAGAGGAAGGGCGTGCTGGGGCGGGAATCAGAGATAGGGAGCGAATTGGAGAGATGGGACAGCAGACAACCTTGATCGCGTGATTTGTTGGAAAAGGGTCCAAAGCCATTAAAATGAATAGAATACCTTCAAACTAAAGTACGCTGACATTCTAGGCGGCTGGGGTCAGGACGTAGACCGCACTACCCGTCCGACCCCAGCTCCAAAGAGAGAGCGACCTGGATCGACAAGTACCAACTGTAATTCCTCCTGCCCTCCAAAGAGAGAGAGAAAGAGAGAGCTGCACAACGCTCACAACAACACGCCTGCGGTAACCACATGTCAGTGTTGCACTTTTCCTTTGTTCTCCTGTTGCACACACACCTCTCCTCTCTCTCCTCTCTCTCTCTTGTGGCACTTTCGCACACACACCCTCACCTCTTTACAGGTCAGATAAACCATAGGCGAAATATTCGCTTTGGCCCCCCTCTCTCTCTCTCTCTCTCTCTCTCTCTCTCTCTCTCTCTCTAAGCGTATCTCTCTCTCTCTCTTTGTGCCTGTGCGTCTCTCTCTATCTCTCTCTCTATCTCTCTCTCTGTCTCTCTCTGTCTCTCTCTCTGTCTCTGGCTTGTGTGGGTCGTTCTTTGAAATGGCAGCGCCCCGGTGTGAGCGGGTGGGATGGTACGGGCTGGATAGACGGTGCAGTGTCTGGTGCTCGGGGGGACTACGAGTGTGGATGTGGATGCCCTTGTTAGATGTTGACCAGCCGGGGAGTGCATGAGGGTGGGGCTGGCTGACGGGAGCGTGCGCATGTGCTTGGGCAAATTGGCGAGCGAGGGGCTGGAAGTGACCCCTCCCCTCGGCGGTCAGCACAGCCAGCGCCTGTGTGAGCTTGTGGTCAGGGAGAGAACACGCCATACCTGGTGAACCAGCTGCCATGTCTTGTCATGCCCTGGCCCCCGGTTCGGGAACAGTCTCAGCACAGCTCGTCGTCGTGTGTGTTGTTGCGTGTGAACGTGTGCACACACACCTTTGATACCGTCATCGCCTCGTGTCCTTGTGCCTTGGTGTTTGGATACCCTGCCGTCTTGTGTACTGCCCCCTGACCACACCCTCTGACATGGATTGTGGCTTTTCTCGTCGGCAGATCACCAGCACAATGGCCGAGTACTACTTTAACATGGACGATGGCTACTTTGAGGGCCTTGTCCGTGGTTTCCGCTCGGGTCTGCTCCGTCGCAGCGACTACATGAACCTGTGTCAATGCGAGACCCTTGAGGGTGTGTTGTGCTCTCAACCCCAAACTTAAAGCCTCAATTCTCTTTGGCCATGCCCCCGTGTCCTTTGCGCAGTTTGACGTGCCTTTGCTCCCCCCTCCGCGCGCTCTCTTGCCGCATGCCACAGACCTCAAGCTGCATCTGCAGACCACCGACTACGGCAACTTTCTGGCCAACGAGCCCTCGCCCCTGGCCGTCTCCACCATCGATGAGAAGCTCAAGGAGAAGCTTGTCACCGAGTTTCGCCACATTCGCAACCAGGCCGTCGAGCCCCTGGCCACTTTCCTTGACTACATCACCTACGGCTACATGATTGACAACGTCATTCTCCTCATCACCGGCGCCATGCACGACCGCGACGTGGCCGAGCTCCTGCCCAAGTGCCATCCCCTCGGTGTCTTCCCCGAGCTCAAGGCCCTGACCATTGCCCCCACCCCCGAGGAGCTGTACAACCAAGTCCTCGTCGATACCCCCATCGGTGTGTCTCAGCTCCCTTGCCTGCCACCCACAACACACCCTCCCCCTTGTCATGGCTTGCCGCTTTCAGAAACATCCCCATCCTCATGGCCTTGCGGCATGCGTTGCTGCATCAGGTGACTACTTTTTGAAGTGCGTCGACCGTGCCGACCTCGACGAGCTCAACGTCGAGCTCATCCGCAACACCCTCTACAAGGTGTGTGCTCTCCTCCGTCCGCTCCTGCCAGCGCAAAGATAAAGGCGGGCCAGTCCAATGTCCTGGAGGCTGGCGGTGTGGTATTCATTCTCGCCCGATTCTGGTAGGAGTACCTTGAAGACTTTTACCGCTTTTGCGAAAAGACCGGCGATGCCACTGCTGAAGTCATGTGCCCCATTTTGGGCTTTGAGGCTGATCGCCGCGCCTTTAACATCACCATCAACTCCTTTGGCACTGACCTCACTTCCGAGGACCGATTAAAAGTACGGCCCATACTCGGCAATGTCTTTGTTGCAGGGCCGACTCCTCATGCACCGACGCTCGTGCGCTGCAATCTCACATCCTCCCATGCACACCTGGCACAGTTGTACCCCCGCATCGGCCGCCTCTATCCCGAGGGTCTGACGCTCCTCTCCGCTTGCAACGACTATGACGAGGTTGTCCGTGTGGCCGAGTACTACGCCGAGTACCGGTATGTTGAAAGCGACCCCGCTTCCCCTAGACTCGGAGGCTCCTCTTGGCACACTCTTTCCTCTTGGCACACTCATTCCACCCCCCTTGCTCCGGCTTGATGTCTTCTGTTGCAGCAACATGTTCGATGGTGTTGGCATGGGTGCCAGCGAGCGAACCCTTGAGGACAAGTTCTTCGACTGTGAGGTTGGTCCTGGTATTCTGCCCGCTCTGTTGGTTCGAGCTCGTTTTGCCTCAAGGGGGCGTCTCTCTCCGCCCTCGGCTACGTCTCACCCCATTCCTGCCATAGGCCAAGATGAACGTCAATGCTTTCATGTTCCAGTTCCAGTACGGTGTCTTCTACGCCTTTATCAAGCTCAAGGAGCAGGAGGCGCGCAACATTGTCTGGATCTCAGAGTGCATTGCGCAGAAGAACAAGAGCAAGGTCGATCACTACATCAACCTGCTGGATTAGGTCTCTTTCTCGTTCTTTGTCCCTTGTATAACCAAATCCCATGCGTGCTCGACCCGAATTCGACGAAGATTCAGTCGCATCTAGCTTGCATTGCAGGCCCCATCAACTAGTCCCTACTCGCCAATGTCGGGCTCCCAGCCCGTGTGTTGGCTCCGCTCTCCTTGGTCTAGCTGTCGTCCAATCCGCTTTCGCTTGCACGGGTTCCAGTCCAACCCAGGCGTGAACTCTCTGTGTGTGCTTCACGCTTCGGGGTATCGTTTCTTCTGCTTGTATCCTGTTACCTTACACTTGCTACCTCGTCCACGTTGATGCTGGTCGAGTCTGGGTCTGCCCTTTGTGATTTTCTTTTCTTGCTTACAAATCTACCAGTGAAGTCACTCGAGTTACTGGCATGCATCAGCACTTCATTGTTGCGTTGCAATTTGCGGTGCCGTGGGGCGCCGGTTGGGGATCTACAGCTCGTCATGAGCGGCGGCAGCCGACACGGCACACCGAAATGACATGTTGTCTGATGCGCTGTCGACGGTATTGCCCATCCTGTCGTGAGCACAAGCAAGAAAGGCGAGGTGAACAACTATTTTGACTGTGAAATCAGACCACCGTGGAGCTCTACAAACCGGGTGGTCACGCGAACAGGGTGGTTGGTTTGGCCATCGACGCTGTCCACATAAGAGCCGCCCTTTAGCACCACCCGCTTCTCTTGGCTCGGTGGCTGCGTGTGGAATAGCACAACAGCTGGCGTGAGTCAGGTCGCAACCGGCAGGTCTGTAGGGTAGGTTGGAGGTCATGGTACGTACTTCGCCGGGTTGGCCCTCGTAGACCTGGTCCACCCATTCCCAGCCGTTGCCCAGGAGGTTGTAAAAGCCCGTATCGGTTTGTGGACCATATGCATCCACGGGCGCCAAACCCAGGTGCCCGTCAGCCTTGGTGTTGACGTCTGCATCAAAAAGAAGGAGAAAGAAAGAGAGAGAGGCGGGGGGATGAGAACAACGGCAGCTGCGCATCGGAGCAAAGCCACTGCCTTAGATGTAGAATCCGGCCTCGAGGGTGGCTGCAGCTAAAAGCAAACCAAATGCAAGAAGGCCATAATGGGAGCGCTCACCGGGAAATTTGCCCTGCCAGACGTTCATGTGGTCGAGGCCGGCGCGAGGGCCCCAGGGGTAGCGCTTGGACTGCTTCGAGCCACCCGCTGCAAGCTCCCACTCGGCTTCAGTCGGCAGCCTCATGCCGCGCCATTTGCAAAAGGCCCGTGCATCGTTCCAACTGATTTGGGTGACGGGGTAGTCGTTGCGCCCCTTGATCGATGAGCCTTTGCCAAAGGGCATGCGCCAGTACGCGCGGGGCACCGGCAGCCACCACTCGGAGCCCTTGATGGTCTCCGTAACCTCGGCGCGTACGCTATCACTGGCCAGCAGATGGAAGACAAAGCTCCAGCCATACTGTTCAGCCTCGGTTGTGTACTTGGTGGCACGCACAAAGGCGCGGAACGCGCTGTTGTTGACTGGACGTGCATCCATGTAAAAGGCCTCCACGTTGGCCTGTGCATGTGCGTTGTACGGGTTACGCGGTGCTGCATCGTACCAGTGTTGGTGCTAAGCTCGTGACAAGAGACAGGACGAACACTTGCCTTGCGTGGCGGCGCTTCGCCGTCCCGAGCATTGTTAAAATCGGCCCCCACCTCAAAGTCTTTGGCTGCGATGATCAAAGACGGCGCGCAAACGTTGCATCGGAGGACAGGCCATTCCGAGCGCAAGCAAATCAAGGATGAGCCATTGGCGAGAGGGAAGATCGGAGGAGATGACAGCGCGACGTCCCACTCCCAAGTTTCACTCGTACCGGCCGGCACTTGAATCATCTCCCTGGTGTCCAGTGGCTTGGCGGCGGCGTTGAGGGCCATGGCCAACAGGATGCACGCCGCGGTTGCTCGAGCAACAAACGACGACATGGTGCTGGCTTCAGACAGCCCAACGCTACCTTGCTAATGGATCCTTTCGCCCTGATATCACGAATCTAGCCAGTGATGCAGAGCAGGAACGAGCACAAGCGCGAGGACGAGGACGTGAAGCGCGCGGCACCCGCACCCCCAAGCCAGCAGCAAACTGGCCCTTTCGCGCATCCCGATCGATGCAAGCCAGCAAGCAACGAACTCAGTCACAATAAAACTTTTTAGCACGCGAAGGTAGTGAATGTATATTGTGTGCAAATCAAAAGGCGAAGGCAGTGACCGGTACGGTTATTGCAAGGGCACACAATGTGTGTGTGGGCCGTGATCTGCTGCAATCATTTCCTCATCGGTTTCCAGCGCCACACACATCAGTCAGACTTTCACGTCAATCCCCTTTAAATCCTCACACGTCCATGCTGTTGTTCACTGTGACCAGTGGACCTGAGGCGAAAGGGACCGCAAGCCTTGGAAGCGACGCCACCATGTAGCTCTGTTCCAAACACCAGTTACACACCCATTCTCTGAATCACCTTGGCTTTTAAATGTAAAACACAACAAAACCATCGCGGCTCCGACTCTCTCTCTGCCGCAGACGAGTGCGTTGGAGTCACTCTCTGAGCTCTGAGTTTTATTTTATTTTATTTTTTGTTTTTGGAAAAACTGTTAAAAATGTTCTGGCGAAGTGCGACGCGCTGGGCAGCGGCGACGGCGACGGCGGCAGCGGCGACGGCGACGACCGTGGCTGTGACCCTTGGCGATGAGAAGGAGGGGGCTGTGCAGAGTTGGTGGGCTGGTACGGTGAAGCCCATGGCCAAGGCGTTGCTGCTGCCGCGTCTGGCGGTGTGCCAGCAGCAGCAGGTCATTCCGCGTGGGCATGTGGCCGAGGTCTACGACGTGGTGGTCGTCGGTGCTGGCATCGTCGGTCTGGCGACGGCCCGTGAGATCTCCAAACGTTATCCAAATAAGACCATCTGCGTCATTGAGAAGGAGGGTGAGGTTGCTGGCCATCAGGTACGCACGGCGCGACAGTTGCGGCGAGAAGTGGAAGGGCGAACCGGAGCGAGGCCATTGGCGGGCAAAGCTG